AGCCAAACCTAAAAGCCTTCGAAGCGCTTATAGCATAGCAAACACACAAGGGATCTCCACATTTTTTAAGCTTAACTCAGATTTTACTCAATATCTTCTTCAATTACACCTGTATTTTAGATCATTGTTGCTCATGCAGTGCATCAAAATGGGTTATAGTATTTTTTAAAGATAATTTTTAAGTAATGCTGAAGTTTTTTCCAGTTTTGCTATTAAGCTTCTCTAAGAATTCCGTTCATGAAAACAAGTGTTACAAAAACACAACTCCTACAAGTTTGCGCGTGGATAGCGAATGTTATTTTTTCATTCCAGAATCCATCAAATAAGTTCGTTCCATTTTCGTCAAGATATAAATACTACCACGAAGTTTGTCCAACTTTTTACTCTCACCCCACTACCCTCACATTGTATCCGCGTTATATCCCGTTTGGAGCACATATGAAAGCGCTCAAACCCCGTGAATATTTCAAAGCAACGCTTCCGCCGTCGAGTCTCGGGGTGTATTTAGGCTGTCGTATTAGCCCAAAAGTGACACTTTGACGGTCGGCCGGAAGAGTGGAAAGGGTTCAGCGACTAGCTGCTGGAGGTGGGATACTCTCTTTAATTAATAACACAGGGAAATACTCCCGTTTATTCAGGCCGGGAAGCTTAGGATGCCAGAACAATGATTATATCATGACTCCATGATTGTCTGGCCGATATTTCACGAACCGTCATTTAGTAACTGATAGTTCTAAATCAGAAATCGTGACTGTTACCAAATACCGTGAACAAGCGTGACATGAGCACAACTTCGGGAACTAGATGCTTCCCGGTAACGGCGCATTGTATCATGGAATCAGGACGTTTGAATGTGCGTGAGACGCGCATGCGCGCTAGTCGCTAAGGTAGAGAATCGAGTATCAAGTGATATCGTGCCTTATAGGCTTTGGTAGTTGGCTCCATAGGATTTCATTGCGGTATTTTGCTCAGAATTACAGTCTCTTAGACGTGATTACGTCACGGATTTAAATCAGCGATATCAAAAAGTAACCATATCAGATGTCACATCATTCAAAAATAACTATAACGGCCATCTCTACTGGCCGCTAAGTGAAACCACATATGTTTGAATTTTTTACTACTGACGATTCTGTCCCCATGGTGGCATTTTTAAATTACAAGTTTCAACAATATATCTTATAATTGGTTGCGTTCGTTTTACATACAATCTCAAATAAACTCTCCTCACTTCGGCTCACTCAGTTTATGGGACGATGTTCATTTTGCCAAATATCAGTTTAAATGAAATGAGATTTCTCTCACAAGTGGCAAGGCACTTCAGTGGCAAAACGAACGTAACATTTATGTTTCAATTACTGTTTATTGTACGACATTCTGGTCACCGCGGCGGTCTGTTTCAAGTACAATGGCAATTAATGACAATATATTTTATTTATCTGTCTTTCAGGTGATAGTTCATTTGTTTTTTCTTTCCAACGCTACTATACAGTGTTTTGCGAGAACAGCCTGTACCATACCTAGATAGCATTACAATTTCAAGATGGCACGCCGTAAAAACACAAATAACCAAGATAATTACTTATTTTTTTATATACGAAAAGCCAGAACACCATACACAGAATACGAAGAAGCTCACCCAAATGGAGACGAGGCAATATCATAGATGAAGGCTCAGAAGACTCACGCATAATGTAATCACCTTAAGTGCGCGCTAAAATGCTTTGGGATATTGTTAATGAATATTTGAAGAATATTTAGAAACTTAGACAACATTAAAATTTACGTTTTTCCATTTTGTTTTTCAATTATTAAATCGCTAATATCTCGAAAAATATCAACTTCAGGAATAAGTTCGTCATTACCTTTTACTTCCCACACCACTAACGAGGAACTATTATAATCGTGAAAATTTTCGAGAAGGGGATATATATATAAGTACATGAAAATATGTCACTAATTTCCGTCGGTCTGACTGTCTAGCTGCTGACGGTCTTTTAGGAGGTACAGGAGAGGGGCGAGGTTAGTCATAGCAAAGTTGTCAGATGGTTGGCACTGTCGGTAGAGCAGGGAAGAAATTCAATGGACCAATTATACAGGCTTGTTTAACCGTTTAATTTCTTATATATATATATATATATATAGAGAGAGAGAGAGAGAGAGAGAGAGAAAGGTATATAACAAAAAGTAGGAAAATATTGGACAAAACCCGCAAAAATTAGTAAAGTGGATTCGAGCAGCAAAATAGGATAGGTAACCCGAGCGATACGTATTTCTGCTGGTTGGCTTCATCAGGCCCGAAATGAGTGCACATATGCAACTACAAACGTAGATACACATGCCCATACATCCGGATACGGGTGTAACCTGAAGAAACGAAGATGGAGAGGGACGAAAATCGACACACGAAGTCCACAACAAGAGCCAACCTACTCGTCGTCATTTTTTCTAATTTGGAACGATGAAAAGAACCTAAAAAAACGTCGGAAAACTCCGGAGCAAAGAAACCCATTTTTCTACGCAGTTTTGGGCCTGGTAACATGCAGATTCCCAGAAGGAAGTGCTTTTAGAATGAGAGTATGCAAAAGACCGATACAGAATATTTTTCGGAGCGAATGCGAAAATACTTTCTGGGCTATACGAAACACCGCCCCGCTATGGACAAGTGGAACACATCCAACATAAATAAAAAATAGGAAAGGTGTCTTAATAATATCAAGATCTACGGCGTAAACTTCTTCAAACAACTAAAATATGTGTGATATATGACAAAAGGTTTCCTGAGAGATTTATCTGATATAAAGGCATCCATGCTGCTGAGCAACCTCCTAATAATACACAATATGAGATATTTGATATCGGAAGTAAAGGAATTAAAAGTGTTTGTTTTCTTTTAAAAACATACACTAACTTGCCACACCACCACAGATTTTTTTACTGTTAGGCAATAATGAGAATAATGATCTCTCCTCCAACAATTCTCCCAAAACCAAATCGCAAGGAACAAACAGTTGTAAAACATGATGGTGCGTTATTTGATAGAACTGATTCTTCTCAAACGCATATTTTAATTATTGTATCAATTCAAAACCATTTCAACTAAGGTTTTAACAGACCGCACTATAATGAAACTCGGCACGAAACAGAAACAGACAGACAGCTCGCGGTTCTGCAGCAAAAAAATTAATCCGTATCGTCGGCATAGGCTTTTAGATAAATTGTGATAGTTTGGTAGTTTACCGATGGTGAAGCGAAATCCGATACTCGACAACGGTGTTTATTTTTACTAATCAGTTGATGGATAGGTGAAAGGATGGATTTACGATGCTCTGCTGACAGAGGTGGAAAATAATTTAGCGCCCTCGCAATGATGACTTGCGTCATCTGCATACTTAAGCTCTTAGCCAATTAGCTGGAGTAACATTAAGGTTTGGAGAAGGGTAGACTGGTTGACTAGTATGGTAAGAAATAAAAGACAAAGATAGTTCTACGAGGTCTGTAAATTAAGTAATGAGAATGATTTCTTTTTATTTTCATTTAAATATAATTACAATTTTATATTGTCATCTTCAAAAAAACTTCCTTCTGAAGTCACATAGCGCTGGAGCCGGTTCGTTCACTCCCCATAACAGTGTTGGAACTCCAATACTGATATAGCATTCAGCTGGTCGGTTACAACCGTTTGAATATTTTCGAATATCCCAAAATCAGGTTCCTGGAGGTGATTTTTCAACTTCGGGAAGAGAAAAAAGTCACAAGGACTCAAGTAAGGCGAATAAGGAGGCTGCAAAACCATAGAAATGTCTTTACTGGACAAAAATTCGTTTATTGACATTGATATGTGAGAAGGAGCATTATCATGATGCAACATCCAGTTGTTATTCTAACTCTTTTCCGATCATTTTGACTGACAACCGACGATCTGAACCCTCAAGATCCCGGATTCTGTAATTTTCATTGGTTCTTCGCGGTCCATCTTCAATCGACTCTCTCCCCGCTGATAATGCCTCAAACCACCGAAAAACCTGGGCTCTTGACAAAACACACAGTTGAAGCAAAACCGCTTAGCAACTGTTGCTTGAAATCAATTGCACTCATTAGGACACGATAGAAAAAACTGTTTCACAAAAAAACCAAACAACCAAATGACTCGAGCGAGTTCAAACTTGTACTGAAGGCGGATCACATGTGCCCCTGTCTGCTCTCCAAGCCCGGTGCGTTCAGTGTTGCCAGACCAAACGCTACGTTGCCAGTTTCATCACTTAATTTACAGACCCGTATTATTCAGAAAAGGTGTTCTAAGAGGTACGCCAACAGGTGAACATTACCCTAAAGGGGGCGACCAGTAACTGCCTTTTATCAAACAACTTCTGAATGTTATTATATAATTTGCTACTGATATTTCCGCATATGACGAGGTAATAAATATTAACGATTATGGTCAGGATATTTGGATGCACCAAAGGCATCTGCTTTGTTTATATTACGCCAACTGGCTAGAAATGCAAGAGTGAGTGGTACATTCTCTCCCGCGCCCTAAAGCTGAATGCATGGTATTTTAAGTCCGCGTCTATTTATTATTGGTATTTCCAATAACTTGAATTATTCGCGTATTTTTCGGTCCACAAAAAATTCAACTTTTTTTATCATAGGTAGCGCAATACTACAAAACAGGCGTCCTAGAATATGTCCTCCCCAATAAGCTGATCAATATCAGTGACATTAAGCTGTAAGAAGAAATGTGAGGAGAAATTGTAGGCTCATAACGATGATGCCCCTAGAAATCAATTGACTTTGTTCGTCAGACCTATCCAAATGTTGCTAATGTTTACACACTATATAATAATGAATCTAGCTTCAGTCATTAAGTTCGCTGATCTTTCAATCAGTATCGTCTGAATAAACCGTTGTTGGATCAGGAACGTTTGAACGACTATGACAGTAAAAACGATCATTACATCTGTTTTACTTCATAATTAACACAAACAGTACCGACTTACCTCGAAAAAGTTCTACAATGTCGTATAAAAGTAACATAATTTATATTTTTTTTTTTATTTTATTGCAAAACATAGTACCTATATGAATTAGTGATTTTGTGTTAGGGCAATCGTTCACTGACTGAACTAAATGAGTCGCATCATCTATCAATTCGTTATGCTATAAAAAAACACGATTCAGAAGACATTAGTAAAAATTCCAGAGACATCTTTAATGAGCCTACAATTCCTTCTAACATTTCTTCCAACAACTGAATCTCACTGAAATTGATCAGCTTATTGGCGAGGACATATTCTAGTACGTCTGTTTTGTACCTACATACCAAATAGTTTATATCTGGAACGTCCAATTACAAAGATCTTTACAATAGATGCTTTACCGTTTCGCCAGGAGGAACGTATTATTACAGTGGACTGTGTGTTACTAGTTTGTATGTAACTCGTATCTACCTTACTCGTGTAAAATCAGGAATGCATAGTATTACGTTTCGCTAGTGCTTTGATGTATTTTAGACCCAGAAATGAATAGGTTACGGTTCCGTTATGAACGGTATGAAGACCTCAGAACTGAATAAAAGTCTCTCAGAGATGACTACCAAAGCTATCTCAGTTCTTTTGAATCCAGAGTTGTATGCAGCCGGAGTGTGAAGCTCTTGAACTGCCTAGCAAATGTGCACGGGAACGCAACGATAAAAACCTAACCTGTTTTTTGATGTTTTGCTTTGACGTTGACAATTTGTATCACACTGCCAAATAATGAAAATGTAAACACATTTTGCCTTTATTTTCAGAAGCATTATCAGACTATACAATTGATGCCTGATGATGCTTTTAGAATGATGGCGTAACGCGTCAGAGGTGTGCATTATATTGGATAAAAGTGTCGAATTCATGTTTTAGTATAGACATTCAAAATTATTTTCAAACTGTCTAGTTATAAATGAAGCCAACTACAAGTCGATATGAACCTGCCTTATTGCACTCTCTTGTGATCTTTATTATTCAGGAACATCTCAAATGTACGTTCTGACTCTGAGTCGTAACACAGTTTTTTTACCATCCTCCATTGTCTGGTATCGGTTTAATGTGAGTTTATTGCAAAAAAACAAAAACGATGAAAAAACATAAGCGAAAGATCTTTCATTTTCTTTATCCCCACTATTTCGAATAAAATCTGGTGCATGAGGAGGCAGGGGATTTCAAAAATAAGTAGCTCAGCTACATGACACTCTAGAGCAGTGGTCGCCAACCCGTCGATCGCGAGCTACCGGAGCTCGCAAAGGCAATTCTGGTCGCTCACAACATATCTTAAAAAGGTGTAAAAATCATAGAAGCTTCCGTGAGTAAATTCTCATAATAAACACAAGCAGCGGCAACACTGCGGTGAACGATCTGTTCGAAAACGATCTCGGTTGGGTTAGAGTTGGAATGCAACGAAGTGAAATACGAAAAAATACAAGAGGCAAAGGATTTGTATTTTTAAATGCTTAATCAAATAACAAATATTTAAGTTACAAAAAAGCATTGGCGTAATTTTTTGTCAATATTATTCGGTAAGGTGCCTCCGGGGCGCCACTAGACCTAATAATTTTAATCCATTTAGGACTAAACTAGCCTCTTAATACAACAAATATCTAATATTGCCGACAAGATATTAATTGGAAGAAAGATTAATTTATCACCCTGTACCTTGAAAACTCTGCTTTGCCGGACCCATGCTTGTAGAAACTTTTTTTGATATTTTTTAACATAGATTCGCCCTCTAAAATATCTCCGTCTATTTTTCGAATGCACTGTATTTTCAAAATATAATTTATGTATTATTGTATAATGTCGCATAATTGCCAAAGTTGAAGTCAAAATTGGGCTATTTTTTAATTGGGTGTCAGATAAACATGCTACTATTCGAAACAGAGCGGACTCTAATGGGCTTGTTTTAACCTCTTTTTGAATTCACTAATTACGGAAAAAATATGAACTACATATTGTTTTCGTGCAGTCAAGTGGCAAGTACCATACCTCAATACAGGTGATTATTTTAAAATGTGACACAATTCAATTATACAATTTTTTTGATATTTGGCCAGGTTTTTTGATTCCTGAACCACGCCCATGCATCTCCACGTCGACAAAACCAGGGTTTAAGGAGGAGATAAGTCGAATTTTAAAATGAATTTTCTCGTACCGAAGAAATTCAAAAAATGTATGACATATTGATAATGCTTTTCTCCGTCCGACCACAGACGTCCAACCGTATGCAGATGTATCATGCTTACTGGCCATCATCAGCACCGTCTAAGTTTGGTGTTAGGTAGGACAACAAAGGAAAGCAGAGCAAATTATCCTTTATCAGAGGTATAAGGTCTATCCCAGTGTATATGAAAGTGGGAGGTAAGGCCCCTAAATTTGGGGAGAGGGGTGATTATTTGATTGGGAGGGGCGGGGGGTGACGCAATAGCTAATTTATGTTTTTGTGAATACTTAAAACCGATTTTGGGAATTGAATTTGGGTGCCTCTAGTTTATCCAGGTACGTTGGCACTTTGCGACACTATTTGTACAGGGTCGGTCAGAATGAGCGCATGTTTTTTTTAAATTTTGGCTAAGGAGAGCAAGTTTCTTGGTTGTATTCATATTTTATTAGAAACAATGCAGGTGTATCTTCTATGAATCCTTCATCGTGATTATTTTCAGCTAGGAATTTCATACTGACTAGCAAGTAATGCCTGGTTTTAAACACCCCAGAATTAGTCCAGGTAAGCATTTTTAAGCTTTTTTTTTTGTTCATGCATCTACAAAGTAAACATTTTTCAAAATTCTGAAGGTATTCTTTTAATAATCCGGGAAATAGTCAACTCAATTTTTGTTTTGCGTTAGACAGGCCCCGTTAGAAAGAACGCATGTTTTTTAAATGCGTAGTAGAGTCAAAATAAGATGGGAAAAATATATTATTATATCAAAATACTCAGAAATACATGCCATCTTTTTGAGTAAAACAAAATGTACGTTCTAAAAACTATATGGTGCCCTTGAGGCGAAATGCAGGAATCAAGCCTCTCCCGAAATGACCCCATATCTTCCTCCTTCCAATCGACGAGGGTTCGAGGCTTGCTTTGGTAAGCTTTTGATTTAGCCCCATAAAAAAGTCACACGTTGACAGGTCCGGGGAGCGAGGTGGTCATGGAATATCACAATGACGTGAAATGAGGCGTCTTGGGAATTTTTGCCGAAGAAGTTCCATCAAAGTGCGAGATGTTGCCCCGTCTTGTTGGAACCACACTGTTCTGACACTGTTTCGTAAAAAAAAAGTGGTTCAGCATGTGCATATAATGGTCTGAATTCATAGTAGTTGTTTCTCCATCATCCTCAAAAAATAAGGGCCAATAATCACCGGGCCTACTGCACACCAAACTGCAACTTTCGGGGATGCAACTGTTGGGGGTTCACTGGAGACCAATATCGACAATTTTGTTTATTGACGTATCGATGTAAATGAAAATGTGCTTCATCACTCATAAACAACGTCATGTCATTGTTATCCAACTGTTCAATCATGAGCTGTGCAATATTAACACGTTGTGCATAATCCCTGGCAACAGTTGTTGACAAACTTGGATTTTGCAAGGATGGAGCACTAAATCATTCTTCAAGATGCGACGTACAGAGGATGCGTGGATCTCTAGGGAACTGGCACTGGCGGATTTTTCATCACATTACCTGTTGTGTTGAATGCTTCCACCCATCTCAAAATAGTGTTACCGTCTGGTACTGTCGCATGACGTAGAACACGAAAGTGAACGCGAAACTCACTCGCCATTTTGAAATTACCGACGTACAGTGAGCACACGATGCTCAACGTTCCAAACCATCTTGCCAACTGAAACGGCACTTCTCCCACTATCCAAAACACCCTTGCCCACCGACACGGGACCAGCCCCCTCGATGTAGTACCCATTCGACAAACATGCGTTCTTTCTGACGGACCAGGTATATGGCATATGACATATGTTGTAAGTTTATTACTCAGACGATGTTTCTTTTATATTCCTTTTTGCAATGTACTCTAGAAAGGGCTTTCATATCTACTTTATTTGTATCTGTAAAGGCATTCGATTTATCAATATTTTTCCTATATCTAGCGAGACATATATCAATTTACTTTTGTACACAATACGTGCACATCCGAAAAATCGACTTTCTATAGATTGAAATTCTCCGAATGTAATATAGCATGCAATGATAACTTCCTAACTCACCTTTTAGGTAGGAAAGACGAACAGCTAAGAGTTACTTGGCAGTACGAAGGTGCATCTGAAAGAAAAATTTACATTTATTGAATTCGTTCTTCAAAAACGCCAGTCATTAACTTATGATGGTCCATAGTTCACTATTGTTCAGATTAAAAAAGATGATCCAGAACAATCAGAAAAAAATCTTCAACAATTAAATTGATAATTATTATCATTAAACAGGGACTTCTTATGCTATTCTGAAAATAAAAAATAGCGTCGAATTTCTTTTGTTCTTACATGCGGATACATTTAAAAAATAAAATCAATATTTTGAGATATCCCAAAGCTTCAACCTTTGTCAAATGTGAATTTATTCTCGGGCACTGTCGCTAGTAAATATTAATGCTCCCATGGATACATATGTACACTGGAAACCAAATTTGTCTGAGGGCTTGAATTCAATCTGTGTGAGAGAGAAGTGAGAACAGACATAAATATCAGAAAGAGATAGATGCGGGCTGGATAGCGAAGCTCATCTCCGCGTTGCCTAGCAACGCTGACTCGGCAATCTGCAGCGTTGCCAATATGTTACACTGGTTCCTTGAATTAAGATGCACGTTGAAAATATGCGTTAGTTTATTCTCTACGCACAAATAATGGTTTTATTTTGAGCGTACCCTTTTATGAATTGTGTGTCGAATTTGTTTAGGTCGAAATGTAAAGTCAGAATCGCAACAAATTCTGCAACATTGTATCACTGGTTCGCTTGGCAACACCGCATCTTGTATATTCCAAGGCAAGGTTTC